TTGGTAGGCCTAATGTTAACATTATTTTTGGAATACTTATTGCTTTAAGTTTGCATAGAAAAGTAAAAATCGTAAATGTTTGTGGTACATTGCGTAGATGTCGAAACTTCGATATTCTCAACAACACAACATTTCTTTTCAGAACCACTGTCTTGGTGTTGGTGTATCGCGAACATTTAGCAGTGACTTAATACTATAACGGTCTTAGGAACTACAACATTCGACCCTGATGTAAGCCTGTAGGCCTACCTACTTGTATTTCTAGAATTATAGGGGATAAATTTTCAAATTTTGCCACTAAATGAATAATTGCTAAAACAAAAGCAAAGGTAATATTACGAATAACCATTAATTATATTGAGCAAAGAAATTACTGCGCTTGGACAATTTAAGTGTTGCTTTCGAAGAACCGGCAAGCGATGCCACACCCGCTCGAAGCTCAACTGAGCTACCGTGCTATTTGATAAAGGATGATCACATAGGCCTACCAGAAGATCCTACTGCACGGTACTTTCTTGTTAAAGAGAATGATTAAAACTGAGAACGATTGGATCATGAAATAATATGACATGGTAATAAATTGGAATGTCCCTATATATAGGCCTACAATGTTGGGAACCACCAATGCAAGATAAAGGCGGTTTATTTTAATTTGAGGGTGTGAGAGTGTCGGAATTGAAGACAGTTGGATTCCTGCATAGTCTTTTTGGTTGATCCACATACGATATTTCACAAAAATCTTAGGCCTACTTATTGGCCTACAGTATTTTGGGTAAGCTTTCTTATGTCGCTTTATATATTTCAAACATTCAGATCAATTTATAGGCCTATCAAAATTAACAAAATCACGTTGGTTGTTTTTTTTAATTTTTTTTATTATCATTATTAAGCAATATAATTTTACTTGAAATTATGTAATCATGTTCGGTTCATCAATAAAACCAGGGAGTTGTTATTTAGAATCTAATAACAACTCCCTGATAAAACACTGGAATAAAAGGCCTAGGGCCAGACGAATACTGTATAATTTGGCATTAGCATATAAAATATTTTCTCTTCCGCCCTCCATAATGCAACGTTTCGTTTAAAGTATTGTCAACAATAACTACACAGTTCATAACCCTAAAAGGCCTTGTACTGATATTACGAATGATTGTCAAAAATAAACAAAACAAACTGACCTGCATCGAGCACTCTGAACACGCAAAGAAATCTCTATCTTTCGTCTGTTTAGCCAGACAGCGTTCACAGAATGTGTGTAAACACGGAAGATATTTGGCTCGTCTGTTTTTAGTGTCAAAGTTCTGCCCGCAATCACCGCATTTCTGAAGTGCCGTCTGTATTGAGCATTTAGTTCTGGAATCATGGCCGGAGCTACTGCCGTTCATTGTGTCTGTCATGATTACTGTGTGGTGTATGCCTTCACTTGGAGCACTCTAGTAAAAGGAAAAGGGAAACGAGAGAAGGAAGCGATTATTACACTGTTGTGATGATTTGCACACGGAAGTTGCTTTTAAAATAGGAGGCAATATGAACGTCAGAAATTAAATGGTAGCCCTAAAATACCCCAATTTCAGCCGAGTAACCGTTGTCAGAAGTATTAAGTATGAACGAACGGCTAAGTGAAATTCGTCGACTTTACTTCCTTGTGTTGGGTTTAATAGAAGTAGTGACGTCACAAAAAGATTGGAAACCTTAGCATGGTTGCGGCAACTCAAAATTGTATAATAAAATGTCCGGTAGACAACACATATACGATTATGACTGTGCATCATAATAATATAGTAAGCATATTTATAGCCTAGTCATGCAGAAAATCAATCAATCAATCTATCTATCTATCTATTTATATATCTTTTAATCTGTCTACAAATCAATCACTCAAACTTATTGTGCCGGTTTTCATAATTTATGTTCAAAGGCGTCTTTGTACGTCGTACAGAAATACATGGAGTAGGCCTACTGTACATGCAAGTAGGCCTTCTATTCTTTTTGAAAAAACCTATGTTGTTAGTCTTCTTAAAGAAGCTACTGATTGAAAAAGTCAGTGTCGACTTATCAATAATAATTGTTGGCTTTAATAGCTGAGTATAGGCCTAGGCCCACCTGTAAGACACTGTTGTATGTCAGACCGCACTGACAATGTTTTATTAGACTCTGTCTCAGCTGTGTATGTAGGCCTAGAAACATCTGATTAAACATTAATGCCATTCATATCTTTTCAGTGCTGGAAAATGTTTTACTTCACATAATACATTATTAAAAATATACGACTATAGGCCCTGACGCGACCACCAGTGTATAATAGTAGTTGTTGCTTATAAGCCTGCCAATGAATATAGTACTCGTTTCAAACTCATCAACTTGGTTAAGCATATTGAGCTTAGTTGAACCATGATTGAACCGCAGACGAGACCCTCAATTGAATCAAAAGCTTACAAACCTAATTGTGACAAACCGGAGATTGACATGAAGGACGTCAACAAAGTTCATTAGACCATGATTAGACCTACTTAGAGATGGTGATTAATATGTCGTGGAGACACTGACTGTCTATCT